TGTCCCCCCCCCACCCCCTCAATTTCCATTGCATATTACTACAGAAAATAGGCCACTGCATCATTATTTTCTTCCATAAACTCCTCCCATGTTGTCTGCCAACTCTCCACTCACCTCTTAAATCCCAGTCCAAGACACCCCACCGGGACCAAACAATTTTTCTCCACAATCTGTTATTTTCATGCAGAAATCTCCAAAACCATTTACCATGCAGAGCTTCATTAAGCTCAATGATCGACCTAATGTCCAGCCCACCCAATTTCAATGGTCTTTTGACTTTTTGCCGTTTTACCAAATGAAATATATGATTCTCCTTATCATCACTCCAAAGGAATTTACATCGTATATATTCCAATTTTTTTGCAATCTTCACTGGAATTGTTAGAATGGACAAATAGTAGATCGATAAATTGGCCATACTACTTTTAATCAAGGTAAATCTATCGCATTTGGATATGAAACTCCTCTTCCAGCTCATTAATCTCCTCTCAAACATCTCCACCAGCAGTTCCCAAGTTACACTATTCTTGTATTTAGCACCTAATGGTAAACGAAGGTATTTAATAGGTAGTGATATTTCCTTGCATTCCAGCACCGCAGCAAACATACAACCATTCCCATCACCACCCACTGTAACTAGTTCTGATTTCTGGAGATTTATCTTCAATCCCGAAACACCTTGAAAACATAATAGAATGCACCTTAAATGAAGAAGATTTCTCACATCCGGATGGCCAAAAATTAGTGTCATCAGCAAACAGCAAATGGGAAACATCCTGGACAGCATTGCCTCTACCAACTCTCACACCTTTAAAAAGCTGTTTCTCTTTAGCCCTGTTCATAAGACCATCCAAGAGTTCCATAATTAAGATAAACAGCATTGGGAATAATGGATGGCCTTGTCTTAGGCCCCTAGATGCTTTAGAAAAATCAGATGGCCCACCATTGATTAGGACTGCAAATGATGTTGTAGTCATACATGTGTACATCCAAGATCTTCATTTTGGCCCAAAACCCAATCTACCAAGCATGTAGTCAACGAACTTCCAGTTAACATGATCATAAATTTTTTCCATGTCAAGTTGACAAATCAGCCCTCTTTTTTATTAACTAACAAATCATCCACCATCTCATTTGCTGCCACCACAGCATCTAGGATTTGACGCCCTTCAATGAAAGTAAGTTGACTTTCCGAAATAATTTCCCTTCTTGCCCAAACTTTAGCTATTAATTTATATACATACCCCATGATGCGAAAGGGTATTAGGAGGATCAAATCAACTCCTAAAACCCACTCAACGTATGCAATACTAAAATTTAACCGTCAAGAAAATTTTTCCCTCTAATTGAATCTACAATCTTAAAAGAACTGCAAAAACAAATAGTAGGAAAAATAAAACAAGAAAAGGAAAAACGTCATGAATTTACCGATAAATTGATCCCGCTGCTTGGCTCAATAAGACTTTTAAAGACTTCTATTTTTTGAAAAACTTAAAAAAGCTAAAAATTAGTAA